TATTATTAATATATATTGCTACTCAGTCGGGGTGTTGTTGTTGTTTGTTTTGCTCAAATGTCTATGCTTATTTATACTGCACAGATAAACAAATATATATAAACAAATATATATAAACAAATATATATATCAATTTCTCTCTTTGTTCACTGCTTTATTTAAAAGAAAGACGCAAACAACAAAGACAATATTTTATTTCTATCAACAGAAACAACTTTTCAATACAGTAAAATAATAAACAAAACAAATAGATTAGGAGTTTTAATATTAAACAAGACAGTTCAAACAAAGACAACCAGCAATATATATATATATATACATGTATTTATTTATTTATTTATAAATGTATAAACAAAAATAAAAGCAAGTAAATATAAAACAAATAGAATAAACACAGAGACATTCTGAATAGAGACTTCATATTTAAAGTAAATCTTTAATAATAAATCGAGAAACATTTATATTAATTAATTATATAATATTAACATATTGTTAATATTTATTTATTGTTAGTTTAATGTAATTTAATGTTTAATTTAGTTCAGCGTTCATTTCATTTAATCAACAGCAGCAGCAAATAGCAAGCAGCAGCAAACAGCAGCAAACAGCAGCAGAGAAGCAGCAGCAAAGGTGCAACGAACAGGTTGACTGTCTACCACCTTATTTTGATTGTTAGTTTTGTTTTCATCGAGTAATAAAGTTCAATTGAAAATAATAATGCAGACAAGATTTAATGCTGCTGCAGCAGCAATAATTCCTGTCTTCAGCAGCAGCTGCAGCAACAGCAGCAGCAGCAGCAGCAGCAACTGCTAGACCAGAGAAGGGACAGAGTTTGTCTCTGCTTCCTCCATCATAATTATGTTTTAACTTTAAATAATTATATTTATTTATTCTTCATTAATATTATTTTAAAAGTCTTTCAAGCGCACTGTACTTCTGTTGTTTTGTTTATATCGCTTAATTATTTGTTTATTTCATAATTATGCTGTTTTGTAATTGTAGTTATTAATCTATATATATATATATATATATAGAGTTCTATATATATAATATATATATATATTATATATATTATATATATAATATATTTACATATACATATATATACTGTATATAGTGTTTGTTTTTAAAGACATAATTAACTGTGGGGTTTGATGACTTCTTCTTGATGAGGCGAAGCAAAAATCGAAGAGGCGTCGATGCTGCGCGCCTTCTTCTGTAAAAGTTTGTGTAATATGTTTCTCTATTAAATAGATGCTTTATTTGATGTGTATGTTTA